TGTGTGTGTGTGTGTGTGTGTGTGTGTGTCGCCTGAAACACAGATTGGTAGAGGAAGAGTGCCACGTTACAGCAAAAAGACCTGGACACTATAGTTACTGATAGCCTAACCCTTTCCTTACATGATCCTAATCACTTAAAGGTTCAGTGTGTAGAATTTTGTGATATCCAGTGTTGAAATTACAAGTTGCAGCTGAACACCCCTCACCTCACCCTCTCCTTCCAAAAGTGAAAAAGAAACTGTGGTAGCCTTTAGTTGTTTTAAAAATTCAAAAGGTGTTTAGTTTGTCCAGTCTGGACTAATGTAAAAAACATGGTGGCCTCTCGATGTAAATATAAAGTATTTGAATATAAAGGGCCTTTTCTGGGGTAGAGAAAACTACAATTCATACAATTTAGATGAAATGAACTAGTGAAAACATCATGAGGATTATTCTACATTAAATTCTGCCAATAGTTCCCTTTCACCTAGATCTTACACACTGGACATTTAACTTAACCTTAACCTAAACCTAACTTTAACCTAAACCTAACCTTAAAGTCAACCTAAACTTGTGCTTTTTGTCCCCATAAGGAAGACACGTCTCCATAGTGTGACTGTGTAAATATGGACCACACCCACCCACACACACGCACAGTCAGCTAGATACAAATTGTTATATAGAAGTTACATTGTATATACATTGCATTAACATTAAAGTATATTGAGGATTAGAAGCATAATAAAACATGATATTATTTTCCTTCCTTTAAGCTTCAACTGTTGATTATGAAATCTAACAGTGGACCCTCCCACCTGAGTAACTTGTAGAAAGGCCTTCTATGAGGAATGCTCTAATATGAAAATCTATTAAAATTCCGATTGTTAATTGTTAACAGTTTCCATGTGATGACTGATGTATGACAACTAAGATACGGGTTGGATTGTGTGATGGAAAACACACAAACACACTGAATACTGAAAAACAATAACCTCAGGTATTGTTGTCATATTTTATTTTTAACTGTTAGTGAGTTTTTTTAGAATTTAAATGTATTTTCTTCATTTTTCACACTAACCAAATACTCAACCGCCACAACACTAAGTGCAATCATCATGAAATCATCAGAAAAGGTTTCCAAACCTGCAAGAATTTCCCACTGCTCCTCGAGACAGACACGAGAATACATCTGCATTTTCTACGAACTTCAGATCATTGTATGCTTGGTGATTTGTGCTAAACATATGTTAGGATCACTGTTTACTGTTAAATTTGCATGAAGTGCAGATTGAGCAGGATTCTTTCATATCCTGTGCCATTTCTAAGGTCCATGTGCCAGTCCTGCCCTCCCCCACAGACACTGGCACATGAACAGAGGCAGCAGAATTGGGAGGAAAGAAGGATGAGACAGAGTCAGATACCTGAGAGATGAAATGTGCTCACTCCATTTACTGCAAATGCTGCCTCTTTGTTAGAAAGGACTTGGAGCTGATGAGGAAATCTCAAGGAGGAGAACAACATGGCAAAATAATTCAGTGAGGGATGTGCGGTCTTAATAAGGGAAAACAATCCAAGCATTGAGGAGAGGACGGAGGAGAAGGAGGACACAAGGAACCATTTAAAACTCAGAGGAGGAAAAACATGTGACTCTTTGATAGAGAACAGCAGGACACCAGGACGGCCATTTTTCTTTATAAATCTGCAACCATTTAACAGTTCATTGTGAGTCAGCCCATCAGATTGTTACTTCACCGCCTCTGACTTCTGATGCACGTCAACAGCATGGCACAGCTTTGCTTGTGTGTGTGTATATGTGCTGGTGTGTGGCTCGGCACTTCCCTCGGACTGCCACCCCAGCACCTTGGCTGGCTGCGGCTGTGGGAGGAGGGTGAGGGCTGCAGGGAGTGCGACCAGCACCTCTGCGCCCCAGTGCCTGCAGAGTGCCCCGCAGGCAGGGTGCAGGACGACTGTGGGTGCTGTGAGCAGTGTGGCAACGCAGAGGGGCAGCAGTGTGACCCGGACAGGGCTCAGAAGTTCTATGGCCGCTGTGGAGAGGGCCTCATCTGCCAGAGGAAAATACCAAAAAGGGAACACAGGGCTGAGCCAGAGCCGACATGTGTGTGCAGGGATAAGGGATCTGTGTGTGGCTCAGATGGGTGGACCTATCCAAATATTTGCCAGATGAGAGAAGCTGCCATTCGCCAAAACTCAAGCCTGAAGCTCACTGGGAGAGGACCCTGTTTCTCTGGTTACCACTATCTCTTCTTACATATGTTGTCCAGGAAACATAGCTTTAAGATTACAAAGTATTTGTGTAGTCTTCTCTGTTTCCTTGGGGTAAGTCTGTCCTTTTGCTGCAGCTCCTCGTATCCTTCAAGGCCCCAGAAACCTGTCCACCTACACGGGGAGTGACGTTGTGTTTGGCTGTGAGGTCTCAGCCTTTCCTCTTCCAAACCTAAGCTGGAAGAAGATGGGAAGTGACAACTTCCTGCCAGGAGATGATCCTCACATCTCTGTCCAGGTTTGAAAATAACTTCAGTTGCTGTGCGTCACTGAACTTTTCATTAAGCATACGTGCTTTGAATGAACTGTGTCCTGTTGGCTCTTTAGTTTTTAGTAGCTTGTTCAATGGGTGGCGATGTTTTTGAGCATTTAACTCATTTTACACATGCATGCATCAATGTGTCATAGCTTACAATGCAGCTCAAGGTGCTTCAGATGAATATTTTAATTAAACAGAACAGATCCTTAAAAACAGAAGAATAAAACATGTTAAAACAGTAATATTTGAATCTGCAGAGCACATAACTCCACCAAAGCCCAACAGTCTCTTTAAATCCAATCAAGCTGCAACCAAATGGCACAAACCTGCAGATATCAGTTCCCTAAATGTGTTTAATGTTTTTAATCAAGATCCTAATTATTCTCTGGGATATCAGCGGAAATTAAAAATAATCTCGCAATGTTAAAGAAATTGATTTAAAAAAATCCTGGATTATCCAAGTATTGTGTTAATCTGTTCAGTAGTTTTTTGAGTAATCCTGCTAACAAACGAACAGACGGACAAACAGAAGGGATGAAAACATATCCTCCTCACTGGAAGTAAAAAAGGGGTTAAAGCAACGTAAAGACATGGTTGAAATCAACTAAATGCAAAAACATTACATAATTATAAATCATTAAAAATACACTTTGAGCAGTTTACCTCCTGAGACCCTGCATCCTCATACGAGGACACGCTTCACATGCACATTGCTGCACCTTATACTTCATTCTACTTAACATAGACCTATTGTCCTCATTCAGTGGACACTTTTACTACAACCTAGTCTAACACATATAGTTACAGATGCAACCCTGTTTCAGGCACGAGGAGGCCCCCAGCGCTACACTGTCTCCACCTGGCTGCAGATACAGGGCCTCCACCTCTCTGATGCAGGGGTCTATTCATGCATCTCCCACAATGCCTTGGGAGAAAGGTCTGCCTCAGCGCAGCTCTCAGTGTTGAGATGAGGTGAGTCACTAAACTATCGGGTGTAAATCCCTGATGCTTCCTCTTTCAACTGCAAATGCCAAATTAAATATCAGAAAGACCAGCGTTCAGCAGAAATTGCCACCAGCTCATTATTTTGACTGTTTACTTTTTGTTGATTTATTTTTAATTTACTCTGCAGGGTAAAGGTGACTCAGGGCCATGTGGAGGAAGAGGAGGGATACGTGGATGTGATGTGAAGTTGACATCTGGAGATTAACTGGCATAAATTGAAGTTGATTTATATAAGCAGAGTACAAGTCTTTGGACAAAGACCACGGATCAACTGATATAATCTTTTAAAAAATAGTACTATGATCTTTGTCAGTCAGAGTCACTTCACTTTATAAGCCTCAGGTCTGCTTATAATGTACCTTTGAACTGCACAGAAATAAACAGCTCTTATTTGCTGTGTGGCATTTTTCATGATCATAATCAAATTAATTACTTAAAGGTCCAGTGTTTAAGATTTAGGAGAAAGGGAACTATTGGCAGAATTTAATGTGATGTCATGATGTTTTCACTAGTTTATTTCACCTAAATTGTATGAATTGTAGTTTTCTTTACCCCAGAAAAGGCCCTTTATATTTACAGTATATACTTTATATTTACATCGAGGGGGTCCGCTCTACGGAGGCCGCCATGTTTTTTACAGTTGTTCAAACTCTACAAACTAAACACCTTTTGAGTTTTTATAACAACTGAAGACACCACAGGTTCTCTGTCATGTTTAGCTGCAACATGCAACTTCAACATTCGATATCACTAAATTCTACACACTATACCTTTAGTATTGAAACTTTCTTCTATCCATTTAAATCTTTTGCAAAGCGTAAAAAGATATGAAGGTTGTTTCACATTTCAAAACCAGTGGGTGCCATAAGTGCCACAACGAGATAAACAGCTGACTCGTCTTCATAACATTAAATGTGATGATGAGAAAACTATTGCTAAGGTGAATACGAGGCCCCCCTACAGTCCCC